ACCCTAGTACTAGTAGTAGTAGTAGTCGTCGTAGAAGTAGAAGTAGAACTAGAAGTAGAAGTAGTAGAAGGAGTGGTAGTAGGTGTAGTAGTACTGGTGATAGTACAGTAGTGGGGGCAGTAGCAATAGCAGTAGAAGTAGAAGCAGCAGCAGCAGCAGCAGAGCAGCTGTGGCTGCGGCGGTAGTGGTTGTTGGATGTTGTTGTCGCATAGAAAGTGGAGCAGTTGGCTGTTGTCGTTGTTGCTGCTGCTGCTGCCGCAGCTGTCGTACTCGTGACTTGGTAGCACAATGTGGTGCAAATACAACACACAAATGAGGAGCATGCAATGCTAGCAGGATTGGATGCTTCAGAACAATGTCGCCGTCTTTCAGACAAGAGAGGGTTCATGTGCATTCAGCATGTCACCTTCCCGAGTTGCCGACGGGAAGACATGCTAGTTACAGATACTGTAGTTGTCAAAGATGAAATGGCGGAGAGCGGAGCCATGCGGAGCCTGTGAGCAGCTCCGCGGGCTCCAGGCCCTCGGTAGGACCTCGTCCAGTCGGGCTAGACGTGGGTGCTGCGATGTGCTGCGCATCCCGGGATTTCTTCGGTAGCGGCAGGAAGCCATGACATCTTAGGATGGTCTATCTTGTGCCCTACTGCCACTCACAAAGCGCCAGATGGGCCCACAGCATTCTAAGATATCCATCCGCATCTCTCCTTGCCAACACGGCCTAGAGTGTTGGATACTTGCAGCTTGACGTGTTCATCCCAAGAGCATCAAACCACTAATTGCCAGGAGAAAGACTGCTATGTCGCCGCAACCCCTCCTGCAAATCAGATGCCTTCTGCCAGGAACGACCGGCGATGTCGTAGCAGCCTGTCCTCGTCGGGAGAGGATCCAGCACGAACGATCTCTTGAAGTTGTCAGCTAGAACAGGAAGTGTCTCACATACGGATCACATACGAGGCACCGTTGCAGTTGCAGCCGTCGACTTTCGCCACTGACGGGGAGTCGAACTGCGCGAGTGGATGGCTTCAGCATCATCTACACGTAATCTGCTCTAGGTACACTGCATCTCCATTGGGTTGTAGTCATCAGAACGACTGCGGCAGATTGCGCCAGCTGCTGCAAAAACACGAACATCCATCGACTTGTAGGTCAACCCGGCTAGGGTTGAGCCGGTTTAGGCACCTCTGGGCATGTCCTACCCGACATCCCGACAGCTCTCAATCCCCCACACTTCTGTCACCTCAGCAATGCTTCGAGCTGGCGATCTGCGTCGCCTGCGGGCTGCGTTTGCTTTCGTTTCTGCAGAAGGATCCATGCGGTGTCGGCTGATCTGATCAGGGACATGCACCGCGACTCCCCCACAGTCTCACATGGCCACGCCATCAGGAGTCATGCAGCAGGAGTAATTCTGAGACGGAAATTCGTAAGACCCCCGGACCTTGGAGAAGGGAGGGTCTCACAGCGAGGGCGCCGCGCCGAGGAGGCAAAGCCAAGTCCTCTGACGGCTTTGCTCTGCGTCTAAACGTCCAACTTGTTTCACCTCTCGATGGCACCTAAGGCCTAGGGATAGTCATTTTACTAGAAGTATTACTACTACTACTACTACTACTGCTACTACTACTACTACTACTACTGTTATTATAATTATTGTTAGTATTGTTGTCAGTATCGTTAGTCTTTTTTGGGGGGGCCCTGGCCGGGGGCCCTACAGAGCCGCTCCTTTGAGGTGTGGCGGCTGCGGTTCTCGAAGTCTCCCAGCTGTGCCGAACTTCCTCCACTGGGAGGTCCATCCGGTCCCAGTTGAGCCGGAAGATGTGTGGCCTGACATGACCAAGGACCCCTAAACGGCCCTAAGCCCTAAACGCAACCCCTTTGTTGCAACTGGGCTTCCTAAACACAAGCCTGAAACCTAAACCCCTTGCCAAGTGTCGGCACAGGCTGGTCCGCCCCTGGCCTGCAAGCTATGTCTTCGGCAGTAGGCATGAACTGCCGTGTCCTCCACTCCCTCGAACATCCTCGACAAAAGCGATGCAGAAAAAAAACACGCTTATCAAAACAACGATCTCACCCTCAGTCTGGTCTGAGCCTTGCCTCTCCAGGTTCGTCGGGTCCAACTCATAGAGTGGATGATCGGGCTGATGCTCGTGGTCATGATGGTGCTCGATGCTGAAGGGGTGTGGGCTTCCCAAAGTCTTTGGAAACTCGTCCGCAGCCCCATGTGCCTCATGTGGACAGCGTGCTCGTCTGCTAAATACTACCAGAGAGATCATAGACTGATCACTGGCAGTATGAGGGCTGAACTTTAGTCTGTGCTGCACATGCAGTGACACCCGAAACGATGTGGCTCGGTAAGGCAAGAGCTCTTGGTGTTGCAATCACTGTCCCAACCAGCTGAAGCTTGACCATGGCTCCGCGATGCAAGGACAGCCACAAACCTAGCCCAAGCTGGCATGGTCTAGGAGTCTAGCCTGGCCGTAGGCTTGCAGTGACCGCTCCTGCTTCCCCACTGCACATCTCTTTCTTGCCTCACTCTGATTCTTCCATCTTTGCTCTACCCTCCTTAAGCCACATGTCTTCCGTTCGTGGCTAACTCCTCGAACACATCAGCAAGCAGGTCAGTCCTTCCAAATTGCTACGGGGTGGGTGCTCGAAGACTTCTTGATGTGTTGCCGTCATGTTGACTCAAGTTCACTCTGTTCCCGGCAAGCTGCGAGCTAAGTCGCAAAGCCAAGGTATAAAGTGCCTGATCCCCCAAAGTATGGTGCAGAAAGGTAGCTGCAGTTCAAACGCCAATGTCCATCTTTGCTTCTTGCCGCTGCAAATCGCAAGTGCGGCTGCTGATGCTTTGGCGCCGCTGACGTAGCGGCATGGTCGACGAACGATGGGGCGCTTGGGCCGAGTTGTCTCTGCTGCTTCTTGCAGCTTAACAACGGGCCTCGCATGGAAGTTGTGCCCGATTTCCGGCCAGAATGCTGCCACACTTTGGGCTCAGCTCTGCTCCTCGTGTTCATGCTGATCCGCGGCTTCCTGGCTGTAGCCTTGTGCTGCCAGGCTGGAGCTTCGGCGGTCCTGCCAGCCCATCGGGGTAGGGGCTACGCGGCTACTCCGGGGTACGCCTTGACACGCTCTGTGCTGATGGCCTCGATGCCCTGGGCAGTCTGAAGCGCAGTCCCACCATGACGAACCCCGGAGGTGATCAGGTCATGTCCACGCTGGGGGCGCTTGCTCTCAGGTTTTCTGACCGAGTCAGCGCTGGGTGGAGTATGTGCGAAAGGAACATCTTACAAAGGCATCGATGCAAACTGGCACAAACCCTTGGGATCCTCGACCTGATCCTCGAAAACAGCTTGGAGCAACCGCACCAAGCCAGCGGCTGTTCCAGCCTCACCTTGGCAGGCCGCGGGTGCGCCGAATTCTGGGCGAAGTGAGTGTCGCATTCGGACTGTTTGGAGCTGAAGCTCCGAAACAAACGCCGGCCCTGGCAGTGGCATCGAGCAAAGTGCAACTGAGCTGTGCCAAGGCGCGTTGAAGCATGTGCAGAAGTTCCGCCGGCATGGAGACGACACGGTGGTTGCCATCGGTGTTGCGCAGATGGACTTGAACCTGAAACCCATCACCTGCATCGCCTGAGAAGACAAGCTGTCACACATTTACACAGCTTCGGCGCGTGACGGAGAATCGACCAATCTGTAAAAAAGCATGCGTAGTTGACTCTGGGAACTTTCCTCGTCCGCTGATGGCTGTGTGTCATCCTCTAGCTGCCCATCATCTGGGATCTCCACATCGCGCAAGCGGAAAACAACGAGCCGCTGCAGTATCCGCGGTCCGCGAGGAGTCTGCTGAGCCCCACCCACTACAATGCCAGCCTCAACATGTGCAACAACTATTACGCAACACTTTTCGACCTCTCACGCAGCTTGCTTCCACGCAACCTGCGGAGATCCAGTTTCAAAAGCGGCGTGTGACAGCGCAGGCGGCTCGTTGGAGAAGCTCAAGTCGTCCCATTTCAAGGAATGAAGGTTTAGGCGCGCGACATAGCCTTTTCGTGTGCTGAGCACACTGCCATGTCCTGCCACGCCGCGGCTAGCAACAGCGTAGCATAAAACATACACATCGCCTGGGACAGTGCGACCTGTCAAGACTATGCAGTGATATGCAGTGATTGCATAGCTCATCCGGCTCTTCACTGGGACCCTGGACATCCACGGTTCGGCGCCTCTGGGGGTATCGGAAGCTTCCCAAACAGCCCGTTGCACTTCCAGGATGCAGCGTAGGGTTCGGGTCTGAAGAAAAGCCTTCTTTTTTATTATCCAGCGAATGGCCTTCATGCTTGACTTCTTAACCTGCAGACTTCAACCAACTTATTTTTACGCAGGTATGGAGTCCTCCGTGGATGATCAAATGTCGGCCCCAGCGAGCCACACCGAAGCGAAGCCGCGGGGCTGGCAAATCGCTGCTCGGACCTCGATGCCACTGCATCGTTGAAAGGTCCAGCTGGTAGCCACGCATATCTGCCAGAATCCCTCCTGACCGATCCGGAGGCTCTATGAGGGGGTGGCCAGCCTAAACCGGGTCT